ATCTTTTTCTTCCTCACATGTCAGACTGATATGATCTTGTACGGTATTAAGCCTTTTTAATAACCTCTTGGCATCCTCATCTGTGTCACATATTACAAGGATATCATCCACATACCTTCTATAAAGTGTGACATTGGTGATTAAATCTTGGGCCATTAGTTCAGTATGTGACATATATACGTCAGCTAATAACGGTCCTAATGGACTCCCCATGGCTACACCATCAATTTGCCGAAAGTGTTCACCTTCGAAAGTGAAATGAACCTTATCAGTACATAATAAAAGCAGTTCTTTCAAATAAGTTGAAGGAATAGGGAAAGAAGGATAATTCGAAGATATGTGGTCACAAAGAATATTAATTGTCTTCGTTAGAGGCACATTTGTAAACAGAGAGTTAACATCAAAAGAATACATTTTCTTATTTTTAATATTCAAATCAGTAAGATAATCAACAAGTTCAAACGTATCTTTCAGTGAATACTTACATAAATCATTACGAATCGGGCTCAGTAATTCGGCTAACCACCTCGCCAATTTGTGTGTGGGAGACTGACACATTGACAATATTGGGCGTAGTGGATTATCAATTTTGTGAATTTTTGGAAGTCCATATAGATTTGGGAAATTAGATCCCATGGGTTTCAAGGAATTAAACTCCGCTTTAGCAATGACATCCGTGTTAAGGAGTTTAACTAGACTGGTTGTTACTTTTCTTTCTAATTTTCTTATATCCTCTGATGCGCAAATACATCACATTTTTCAGATAATCTTCGTCTTCTAATAGCGTTATCGAAATAATCATAATGCTAACGATAATCATAATGACAGTAATAATAATCATGACAATAATAATGATAATAACAATGGCCACGATAATCATAATAATAATAATAATAACGGCTGACAATGGCGAGAATAATGATGACGAAAGCAAAAGACAAAGTAACAACGATGATAACAATAATGCCAATAGTAAAAACAACTACAGTAACAATAATAATGATAATGACACTGACAATAACAATGATGATAACGACAACAACGACAGTAATAACAGCAAGAATAAAAATGACGATAACAATTATCATAATAATCATAACCATAACAATACTAATGACAGCAATAATACTAGCGATAATAATAATAATAATAGTAGAAACAATTATAATAATGATAAGAATAATAATGAAAATCACAATAATCATAGCAAAGATGATATTAATAATGATAGAAGACATGGTCGTAATAATAATGATATGAATAATCATGAAAACGATGATAATTAAAATAACAATGATAAGAGCAATGATTATCATTATTATTATTATTATTATTATTATTATTATCGTAAACATCACAGCGTTAATAATAATGACAGAAATAATAACAAGAAAAGTAATGATGATTATTACCGTCAACCGCGATGATGATAATAATAATAATAATAGTAATAACGATAAGAATAAATATAACGATGGCGATAACAATGATAATAATAAAAAGAATAAATATGACACTGATAGGGATAAAAATAATAATAAATAATAAAGCTACAGCCAGCTCAGGTAGTTAAAATGATAATAATAATAATAATTATTATTATTAATAATAATAATAATACAATAAAGGGGATACGAATAAGAATTTTTTTTAAATAATGATAACCATAACAATGATAGTTATATAATCGTCACAAAAATGATGATAATGACGACAACGGTAAAAATTACAATGATAACAATCATAAGAACAATAACACAAGACATAATATTATTATTAACAATAATGATAATGTTAATAACAACGATAATGATGGCCAGAGTAGTAATAACAGTAATAACGATAAGTATAATAATGAAAATAAGTATGATAATCAACATAATTATAATGACACGCCTAGCTACTCTGTACACGTTCATGAAATAGGCAATGAGCCACACCTATTGTGTAGGTGCTAATGATACTACCTGGCTGCCCAAACCTCAGTAGGTTGGGCAGGGCTCGAGCCCATGGCAATGGTTGATAGTTGCCCCCGTAAACCACTGAGTCACAGCTCCACCAATGATAACAATAACATGATGTTGATACAAATAGACAAAAAAATAATCACGATAATTATAACAATAGATATACTAATAATAACCATATTACTATTGATAACGATGGTAATGTCAATAATGCTGGTAATAATAATAATAATAATAATAACAAAGGTAATAATAGTGATGGTGATAATAATGGTAATTATAACGGTGATAATCACTATGCTAAAAACCATGAGGATGATAATAACAATAATACTATGAATAAGTATATTAATAATCATGCGCATATTAAAAATAATAATGACACCAACAATCATAACAACGACGGTGGTAGTAATCATGACAACGATAATAATTACAATAATGACGACAATGTTAATAATTATAACGACAGTTAGAATAATAGTAATATGGATAACAATGAAAAGAATAAGGATGATGATATTATTAAGGAAAATAACTAAAACAATACCGACAAAAATGATAAGAATAGTGATGACAATAATGCCACTTGATGAAAATCTCAGTAATAATAATAATAATAATAATAATAATAATGGAGATAACAACGAAAATAATAATTCCGAAAATACCGATGATAATAATAAAGAGGACAATAAGAATAAGAATAGAAATAACGGTGATAATAACAAGCATAGTGATGATGATGGCGGCGGCGGCGGTAGCAATGAAGAAAATAATAATAATAATAATGACAATAATAACAATGGCAGCAATATTAAAAGTGATAATAATGGTAGTGGTGACGACAACAACAATAACAACCATCATGATAAAAGACATAAGCATAAGGATGATAAAATAGTCATGATGATAGTAAGGATAATTATAATAACGGTCACAACAGCAATAACAATAATAATGAAAATAACAATGATAGTGTTGTTAGGATAGTGATAAAAGTAATGAGTGTAATAATAATAATAATAGTGACGATAACCACAGACATACTATTATAGCAATAACAATGATAATATAAATACTATTGATAATGACGTCAACAATAATATTAACCATAGTGATGACGATAACGATGTTAATGACAATCACTACGATAATAATGATAATAATTGCAAAGAATGATGATAGTACCAATAATGACATTGATAACAATAATAGACTGAATAAGAATAGTGATGACAATAATACTAACCGTAACTATGGTGATAATAACAATAGTAATCATAGTAAAATTGATGGTAATTATAATGATAATGGTAGCAAAAATGATGATGGCAATAAAAAACGAAATAATTCGACACAATAATAATAATAACTATCACAGTAATAAAGATAATGGTATGAAAAGATAAGATGGCAATAAAAAATATACAGACACATCCAGATACCCTGTACACATCCGTGCAATAAGCAATGAGCCACACTTATTGTATGGCGGCCAGTGATACTGCCTGGCTGCCCAAACCTCGGTAGGTTGGGCAGGGCTCGAGACCATGACAATGGTTGATAGTTGCCTCCCTAAACCACTGGGCCACAGAGCCACCAATAATAAGCGATAATGATACTGATAAAAGTAAGAATGATAACAAAGAATAATGATGCTGATAATAATAAGAATAATAGTAAAGAAAGTGATAATAATGATAACAGTAACAATAATGATAGTGATGACAGTGATAACAATAGTAACAAAATTATCAGTAATGATTAAAATATCATTATTATTTGTAATAATAATAAAAGTGAACACAATAATAACAATAATTAATATTAATGGTAGTAATGATAGTGATGATGATGACAATGACTATAACAACGACAATAAAAATAATAATAACGGCAATGCTAACAATAATAACAGAAGTGATAATCACAATGAAAACATTAATGATAATGATAATGACAATGACAATAATAATAAGAGTGATCGATAATAATGATAGTTACAGCGAGAACAATGATAATGATAGTGATGATGATAATAATGGCAATAATAATATTAGTGATGATGATAACGATGATCATAATAGTAATAACGATTATGATAGACATGATAATAACAATAGGCATAATAGCATTAATAATGATAGTGAGAATAATAATAATGATAGACAACAATAATAATGGTAACAATAACGATAATGATAGCAACAATAATAGTAATAACGATAAGAATAATTATAACCATAGCAATGACAATCATAATAATAATAATGAAAAATATGATGCTGATTATGACGAAATGCGCATCCTAGATTCCACTGCTAGCCGCTATCTATCATTACTATCATTAGAGTACAGGTAATATCGAGGCATCCGCACAGAAGCCCATATGCCAATAGAGACCGATCACTTCGGTCTATTCAACGACGGTATGATATGAAAACAATTATACTAAAACTATACCCAGCCCATATACCAATAGAGACTGATCAACGACGGTATGTTATAAAAATAACTATACTAGTGATGACAAGAATGATGATAATAATAGTGACAATAATGGTTACAACACTGATGATAATAACAATATTAATAATCATAGCGTTAATAATAATAATAATAATAATAATAGTAATGGTAATGTTATTCTTTGTAAAATGCACTAGTGTCACCATCCCCTACTCTAAACAAATTGATTTCAAATGGTCATGCAGTTGCAAAATTGTTGATAAAATTCAATGTTATGTTAAAGCGATTTTCAAGTTTGTTATCAAAATGAAAGATAATAAACAAATGCATGATATCCTTTCTTAGTACCTATAACCAACTCATTAAAATTGTCGATTATATTTGTGATTATTCGATAGGATGTCAGATAATAGTGTTCCTATTAAGAATTTGGAAGAAATAATTTCTAAATTGACAGAAGTTGGAAACTGTGAACCACTGAAAACCGACCCAGTGGCTGGGTGATTAACGCGTTCGTCGTGAAACTTGAAGGTCCTGAGTTCGATCCCTGGCCAGGTCGTGGGTGCGTACTGCTCAGGAGTCCCATACTAGGACAAAATAGGTGTCCAGTGCCCTCACATTTTCAATGCTTCCCCAACTGATGTCGCTCCATGATGAATACTACATCTAAATTTCTAAAATGTTTAGTGAATGTCAAATTTCACAAATTTGTGAACATAATTCGATGAAATGGTCATCATATCACCGTACATCCTGATATTTACATGTGGAGCAATCATTTATTCGTTTATATAATCGACTTTCAACCAGTGGATCACAGTTTTAAATCTTCCTCCACCTTTATGGAGGTCTGGCCAGTCAAGTAGTATCATTAGCAATAACATAATGGGCATAACTCCTTGTCTATTGCACAAAAGTGTACACAGTTGCTGAATGGATTCTATTTCATTTATTTTCATATGTTTGCATGAGAAAGTAGAAAATGGTATTTTGGAAGAATGAAATTGCCAATATGCAGTTGCAGTGTGAATACATGAGTTAGAACGTTTTGTTCTATAGTAAGTGCTTATAGGATTATTCATTTCTGCTTCACTTCCATAGTGCTTATCAAATCACAGAGCGATTCCTTTCAATGTGGTCACCACTAAGTGAAGAAATACACGACACTGCGAAACTTGATCGATAGACTTAGACGAGTGATAAACACTACAAACTAGACAGCTTACACCGATTAACCGCTGACGACCAATGTGTGTGGACAAGAATCATACTACTGCTTATTGATACCTGTAATTTCCCGTTGTTATACTGGGTAGACCTATGTTGGTAGATGGGTTCCTATGTGGATGCCCAGGTTCTGCTAGATATTAACGATTTTATATTCGTCTTGATGACTAGCGGTGAAATCCAACCTGATGCGCGTTTCGTCTTGTTTAGGACTCGCCAGCTGGATGTGCCTGCACATCAGTGGTTAAAGTTCCAACCGAGACTCGAACCCAGTGCCCATCGCTTCAAACGTCAGGTAAAGAGAGAAAGAAAAACCTGCAAAAAGAAGTAAAAAGTAGTAAGACAGAGAAAGGGAGAAGGAGAAAATGGTGAGATTAGGTATAGCGGTTAAAATGAGGATGATATGTGTGTATGCATCTGCGCTACTGACATCGATTGTTAGCCATATCACCTAAAGTCTCCCATGGACTCCAACCGGTCAATCTGCATCGCCCTACATGGCTCAAACCAACAGTCAAAGACTTCATCGGTTGATACCATGTTTAGTCTGACCGTGCCAAGTCTTTTTCTAGCTTGGACCTACTTCGACCAGCATTATGCGACGAGGCAGACGGTGGCTAAGCATGCGTAACACATGTCGCAACCATCTCAGTTGATGAAGGTTCAAAACAGCATCAACTGACTTACCTCTCCTCCCTAAAACTCTACGCCTGACTTTTGCGTTACTTACGTGGGACACCACGGAACACAGCTTATGCGGTAAAGGCAACGGTAGTCAAACACCTGAAACCTTTTCAACTCTTCTACCTTTAGTAGCCATGTTTTACAGCCATACAATACAACTATCACATTCATAAAACGGGTATAAGTCATCTTCACAGTGGCTGTAGAATGTGGAGATAAAATTTATAAGGCAACATATTTTTTTTAATCCATATTGTTCTTTAACATTCTGAATAATATTTAGGGATAGATTGTGACTACTCATAGTATGAAACACTTTTAATAGCAGGATATTGAATATATATATATATATATATATATATATATATATATATATATATATATATATATATACCTCTTGAGTAATGCGAACCATTTCACATGCTAAACAATTACGTGATCGAGTTGGGTTGGTACATCGATGTAAATCTGCCAATAAATAATCACGTAAACTGGTGTATGAGTCAATGCTTGAATTACAACATTTAAGAAGCATGTATTCCCCATGTTGACAAGACCGCGCATAGCTAAAATAAACAAGATAAAATTTGATGATAACTATTACTGAAGAAAAGAAAAGACTTGGCATAAATTAACTGATAATTATTCGATTGATAATCACATGACGTAAAGTCTTGTGCTAAACAAAAGGGAAATAAAGCATAGTATAGTTCAACAAACGTTTTCAATAATAAGAGAATGTAATCAACAAGATATAAGAATCTAAGTGAAGCAGCCTAAAAGATGTTCTCAATCAATTAGGCTCAACAAATCTCGATAGTAACAACAACTTTTTACGAACTGATATGCATCTGGGAAGGAATGAGACGATGAGTAACAATCAGTTTTTTAAGTCGATTGACAAAAATTTATGCTTGAAAGACAAGAAAGGCTTTGATCGGTTCAATTAACAGAAGACTCATAGGTACGAAACACTGAGCTGATGCTCCTAGTATTTTCAAAGGGTTAAACGTACCTAGAATACCTGGACTACATCGTTATGCTAAAGCTATTTTCATGAAATAACCTCGCCTGGTTAACTAGTTTACTAGTTACTAGCCGGTCCTAAGCCCGGGTAAAGAGGGAAGGTTGGGCATAGGGCTAGCAACCCTACCCCGTAAAACAAATCTAACCGCTAAAGAAACTTCAAAGCACAAACAAAATATAAAAAATGAAAACAAACTTATTCCCCGCTGGAATCGGAGAGGCGAAATGACGCCAGTTGGTGAAAGCCTTCGGGAAGCCAATTGGCCGATGTGTCTTCTCTCGATGAAAGCGAAAGTAAACGTGGGGACATGGAATGTCCGTACGATGTTTGAACCCAGTAAGGCAGCCCAGATTGCAAAGGAGATGAGAAGGTATAACATCGAAGTGCTTGGAATTTGCGAAAGCAGATGGAATGGGAGTGGACTCTCCAAACTGTCAACTGGAGAATCAATAATCTACTCCGGTCACCCAGACGCCAACCACGAGCACACTGAGGGAGTGGCTATCATGATGTCCTCAAGAGCATCGAAGGCTCTCATGCAGTGGGAACCAATCTCCTCCAGGATCATGACAGCAAGATTCAACTCAAAAGGAAGAAAGGTCACAATCATACAATGTTATGCACCTACAAATAATGCAGAGCAAGAGAAAAAGGAGGAATTCTACAGACAACTTCAATCAACACTGGACAAGACGTCAGTTGGCGATATCAAAATTCTAATGGGCGACATGAATGCCAAACTGGGAGGTGACAACACAGGAAGAGAACTAACCATGGGTCGAGAGGCGCTAGGTGAAATGAATGAGAATGGAGAATTGTTTGCAGAATTCTGTGCATTCAACGATTTGGTGATTGGAGGCAGTGTGTTCAGGCACAAAGATATCCACAAAGCGACATGGACTTCACCAGATGGACACACTAAAAATCAAATCGACTTTATCTCAATCTCAAGAAAATGGAGACGCAGTCTACTTAACACAAGGTCAAGAAGAGGAGCAGATGTAGGTTCAGACCACTATCTAGTGCAAGGAACCTTCCAAATCAAGTTAAAAGCCTTCAAGGAAGCTGGTGATAGACCTCAATTCAAGTACAACACTCGGAAACTGAAGGATGAAACTACAAAGGAGATCTTCAAGGCAGCCATCAAGACAAAATGGGAGACATCGAGGGACATCCCTGAAGAAACCTGTGTGGAAGAACACTGGAAGTCTTTGAAAGCTATGTGGAAAGAAACCTGCACAACAGTATTAGGAAGGAAGAAGAAAGAAGACAAGGAATGGATCTCGACGGATACCTGGAAGCTGATAGAGGAGAGGAGGATGGTGAAGCAGAAGATAAACCAGTGCAAGGATGCTCAACGACAAGAGGAACTGAGCACAATGTATAAAACACTGGACAAAGAAGTGAAGAAGAGTGCACGCAAAGACAAAAGACACTTCTACGAAACACTGGCAAGTGAAGCAGAACAGGCTGCAGGTAAGAGAGACCTGACGACATTGTATCAAATAACCAGGTTGCTATCAGGGAAGAGACCAACACAGATGAAACCAATAAAAGATGAAGAAGGAAATTTAATTACAAAAGAAGAGAAACAGAGGAAACGATGGGCCGACCACTTCAAGAAGCTCTTGAATCGACCACCACCTGCACTTCGTCCAGAAATACCACCTGCAGCCGCTGAATTACAAGTGAACATAAATCCCCCAACGAAAATGGAAGTCCTGAACGCCATAAAGCTACTGAAATGCGGGAAAGCAGCAGGACCAGATGGAATACCGCCAGAAGCACTGAGAACAGATGCAGAGACAACAGCGGACATGCTCACACCACTATTGCAGAAGGTGTGGAAGGAAGAGAAGGTACCGGACGATTGGAAGAAGGGTTACCTTGTCAAACTGCCGAAGAAGGGAGACCTCAGTGCTTGCAAGAACTGGCGCGGAATCACTCTCCTGTCCACCCCAAGTAAAATATTAAGCCGCATCATCCTGGAGAGGCTTAAAGACGCACTGGATTCAAAACTGCGACCGGAACAGGCAGGCTTCAGGAAGTACAAATCATGTGCTGACCAAATTGCAACACTTCGTATCATCATAGAACAGAGCGTAGAATGGCAATCAGCTCTCTACCTCAACTTCATCGACTTTGAGAAGGCCTTTGACAGCGTCGACCGAGAAGTAATTTGGAAACTGCTTCAATACTACGGAGTACCGCAAACCTTTATCCGCCTCATTCAACAACTATATGAAGATGCCACATGCCAAGTAATCCACAATGGGAAGCTCAGTGATGCCTTTGAAGTGAAGACAGGAGTGAAACAAGGTTGCCTACTATCCCCCATGATATTCCTTATTGTGGTGGACTGGATCATGCAGCAAACAGTAGGCAGCGAGAAGAGGGGGATACACTGGACGACGGAAAAGAACCTAGAAGACTTGGATTTCGCCGATGACTTATGCCTAATGTCACATAAACTTGAAGATCTGCAGGCAAAAACTAACAAGTTGATAGAAGAGGCAGCGAAGACGGGACTTCAGGTGAATATAGAGAAGACAGAAGTGATGAAGATACCGCACCACCACCATCAACAACAACAACAACAAACTCCAATCACCGTCAACGGGAGAAACTTGAAGGAAGTAACCTCCTTCACTTATCTAGGAAGCACTGTTTCAACTACAGGCGGGACGGACGAGGACGTCAAAGTCAGAATCGGAAAAGCAAGACAGGCATTCATTAGCCTGAAACCAGTGTGGAGATCTTCTGCACTCAGCATCTGGAACAAGATACGGATTTTCAACACCAACGTCAAGTCAGTGCTCTTGTATGGCTCAGAGACTTGGCGCGTCACGAAAGGCATTTCCAATAAACTACAGACATTCATCAACAACTGCTTACGCTCGCTGCTGAAGATCAGATGGCCAGAAAAAATAAGCAACAAGGAACTCTGGGAACGAACCAACCAAGAAGCTATCACGCAACAAATATGCAGGAGGAAGTGGAGATGGATTGGCCATGCACTGAGAAGGCCGACTGAGGACATCACGCGTCAGGCCCTCGAGTGGAATCCCCATGGGAAGCGACGAGTTGGACGTCCGAGGGTGACATGGAGGAGGTCATGCGAGGAGGAAATGAGAGCTTCTGGGCTGTCGTGGAACCAGGTTCAAAAGATCTCAGAGAACAGAGGTCACTGGAGGCGTGCTACTGAAGCCCTATGTTCCACTAGGAACCCAAGGGACTAATAATAATAATAATAATATTTTCATGAAATATCTTCAAACAAATTTATTAAATAAAGAAACAGAATATGAATAGTCTTTCACTACTACGGTATGTCGTGACTTGGCTTTATTTCGATTGCATTATTACTTACTTTACCCCCTTTTTACATCCCTCCCTATCAATAACTGAGGTTCGTGGAGATTGATTTATTTACTGGTATTATTTATCATGAACTGACATCAACTGGAGAATTCGGAACACAGAACAGCCGTTCCGTCTTATTATGAGCCTCCTCAGTAGTGCACACCCACGACCACCACCACGTATAGAACCTAGGACCTTTAGGTCTAGTGGCGAGCATGTTGTCATAGAGTTACTATAATATCAACCATATTAACGAAGAGGTTTACAAGTACCGAAACTCTATGAAGCACCTTCTTTGGACAGCTTCCTATAAACTAGTTTAGGAATGAAGGTGACATTATTCAGATGGCTGGTTAGATAGTTCAAGGAGGTATAGTAAGTAGAGTCTATTATAACTCAGAAATGGAACTTTAGTACTAACCACCTCCAGAACCTATCAACACAGTTCACATCATCATTCAATCAAACGATACCAAATTATAACCTGTTATTGAGACGCAAAGGTTTAACTTGCTACACTTCCTATCAGCACAGTAAGATATAAGGCGACAAAAACACAAAAGAATGAAAGTAATATGTTATCAGTTAAAGAAAACTATAAAATGGAAACAAGAGGGATTAAGGCAAACACCGACATGTGATATGACGGCAAAATGAAGGAAAGACGGGGATGAATTTGTATCACCTAGGTCGACATTGAGTCATATAACCTGGCTTTTGTGGAGCTGTGATTCATAGACTTTAGGACTCGACTTCCAAGCAGTGGGTCTTACTTTCAAATCACACGCCCTATATCTCTGCTTGAAAAACCTGGTAGTATTACAAACCCTAGCATGCTGAATGTCGCTCACAGAGTAAATGGGTGCGCATTGCTGAAGAGTCCCATACTAGTACAAAACAGCTGCCCAATGCTACCAGGTTTCTAATGTTTCTCCAACTGGTGTCAGTCCATAATGAATGCCAACCTGAAATTAGTAAAAATCCACACAAACCTCAAAATTAAAACTTAACTATTTCATCATAAATTGGCAATCATACTATCAACCTCATCTTTTCACATGAACTACATGGACTTGAAAGCCTACATTCCTACATGAACACCAAACTAGCGGTCGTAGAATTAACGGACGTATACCATACATTAGTTTTGCCAGGCAACTTTAATATAAACTATGTTAGCTAACACGGTGTCGCACGGTAAGTGGCTAGGCATACGTAACACATGTCTGTCACCTTTCTATCAAAGCCAATGTGGGTCCCTAAATAAATAAAAGAGCTAACGCGTTCAACCACTTCATTTCATATTGTTGGACGAAGCATCAACACAGACAGATCATAAGCCACTAGTTGGAATTTCAGGGTTGAGAAAAATTTTCTAACTCTCATGCGTGTCCGGGTCTTAACTATGATGTCCGTGTACTCTAGATTGAATAAGGATTTTTGTGATGAGATTGGTTTACATGAAGTTAGAAGACAGAAAAATTTCCATGATAAACTTAAATAAGAGTGAAAGAGTTGATATTCTTTGAGAACACCACTAGGCGCTAACAGGACTAACGGTTTCACGTTATGAGCCTCCAGTAAGGTGATAATACTTTTCATGTGCTATTCATTAAGATACACTGCCATAGAAACTCCCAAACGACGAGGTTGAATCCTATACTCAGGTTAAGTAATACATCACATCTAGTGTCAGGTACTAGTAAGTATGCTTGTATTCTTCAACAGTGAAGCTATTAGCATCTTGTAAGTCCTACACAGAAGTGATTCAGGTAGGTTGGTGACATACAACTAAGTTATTTCTCGATGCAACTCGATTTGGTATGATACGTTGAGCGAAACTAACTGCGACCGCTCAGGATATTACCCAGTTACTCAAGCAGCAGTAGATGGATTGATGTTTAAACCCAGGGCATGCTAGTTTCAAGTTAAGTACTTGAGTTAAATGAGTCACATTTTTATATGAGACCACTTTCGTCTATTGGTTTAAAGGGGATTTGTGGAGCTGTGACTCATTGGTGGTTTAGGCAATCAACCTTCAACCAATAGGGCAAGAGTTCGAACACCGCTCCACCTACAGAGGTTTGGACAGCTGGGTAGTATCACTAACTCTCACACAATAGGTGTGGCTTACTGCCTACTGCACAAATGTGCACAAGACTGCTGACTGCATTTCAATTCGACTTCAGTTTAAGACAGTAATGAAGTGAGGAAGCTACCTAGTTTTGCCAATGTTCTTCAACCAAGCTATCAATGGAATTTTAGAAACAGTTGTGAAGAAAAATGTTAGGTGATGGTTATGTAGATAGATATACTACAACTCAGAAAATGCCTATTCAACTTTGAGTAGGTGAACAGTATCATTCTACTGTTTGACGGTATACAGATTATTCAAATCATTTAATTAGTTAGTGATCTCTGCCCCTCAGTATAGCATATTGGAATGAATAGTACACTTTCAAGACTGGTAGAAGTCAATGCCTGGTACCATGTTGATATTATCTCTCTCCTTACTACCCTTTCTGATAATACAATAAACACAAACTACAAAAAATAAAGTTACAAACACTTGTCCGCAATCATCTTCGTAGACTGACCAAGTAATCTAGAGTATGATTACTACTTCGGATAATTGTGTTATTACTGCTTGTACCCATACTTTAATTACCTAGCTACCTTAAACTATGATTAGCGGGTTTGATTTCCATCTTTTCTTTTACCTGATAGATTGTATAAATGGTAATATACACAATAACTGCTGAGAATTAAGCTTCTAAGAATTCTTTGGTATTCATTGATCTTCCTAGACGATAAAGATTCCTCACCAGTGTGCAGATACATCCAGCTGATGAGACCCAAATAGGACGAAACGCGTACTGTAGATTCTACTCCTGGCCATCAGGTAGATACCAGGAAGTTCCTTACCTTTCCACAGCTGTCTATATGCATTGGTTTCAGCTAAAACACATCATGATGGTCAATCACTAGTTACAGGTAATATTTTTATCTTATTTTTCTTTCTATTCGACTCAGTTTCTTCTATATACTACAAAATGTGACAGCTTGAATCGATAGATTCCTACACTGATTTAGCCAAAGTTGTAACCATATGATTTACCAGAGAAAAAAAATTCGCTGTGATTAGATACTAAATATGACTTAACAACAACGACCTGACAGTATGAAGCCCACTTACTACATGAGTAATAATGATACTACTCACTACCCAAATCTAGGTAGACAGAGTGAGATTCAAAAACATAACGTTTCAGAGCCTCAGATCTAGTTACGAAACAAGTACACCTTTGAACATGTGAATATTTACCACCGTGATTTTTAAAAATCTAATCGATGACCCAGTTTCACAACGGTAAAGTTTGAAGAGAATTTACTGAAAAGAATATCGAAAATCGAAAAACATTCCACTAAAGTGTTGTGTTGCTTAACAACTCCACTGTAAGGTTAATTAATAAACTTTGGTAAACATTTAAAACTTGAAAGTCATATTCGTTAACTAGTTAGCGAAAATTTTGCATCTCAAATGATGATTAATTTTCCCAGTTCGACTTACATCTAAATTATCATTTAACTATCAGAGATAGCCGTAGTTTAGGAGACCAGCATTTATACTGGGTGATGATTGGAGGTGAAATGAAAATATGGACCGGGGCGGGATTCAAGCAAGAGACAACCGGGTTTCCGGACCGATGCTCTACCATCTGAGCTAAGAGGTTATCTAAATCTCGGAAAATTGTACTTTCCTCACTTACTTCTTTCCTCCAAATATTTACATGTTCTTCGATCTCCAAATGTACTTGTATGTGTGTCCTACATATATCGCGCCGATCAAGTTGCGCAGGTTTTCAAACTTCATAACAATTAACGGTAGAGGATATGAGAAGGCTTCAAGTCTTCGACCACCATCGCCTTCGTAGCACAGGCCACTTGTTGTAGGACCACTATATCTATCAGACGTTGAGTTTGAAGTAAAAGAGTTAAGTCGCTTGATGAAATTTTAAACTCTCATCGACTTAGATGAGTGGGATGTATTCCACAGAGGCCTAATTACTGCATACCTTGTCACAGAATGTTAGCTGCAATAGACTTTTAGGCTGAAGAAAGATTAAAGGCGGCCACACAAAAATATACCATTAGTCAACCAAGTCTCTGATTGTTAGTCTAATCTGTGCAGGGGAATGTAGAATTCTAGATTGGGGTCCATTTGGCAACGGCGACCGGTGGTTAAAGACTAGGCGACATGTCTCACTGCTATAGATGTAGCTATACATTATCTACATACTGACAGTCATATCGAATTCCATCAGTTTTATCATTTTTTTCTCTTTTTATTACTTCCCGCTACTTTTGATAGTCTTTTTTCTTACTCCTTCATCTTTTATGCTGAATGGCCTGATTTGAGTTGTGGCAACTTGAGCCGTTATACAGTGATGCCAGGTTTATGCTGATATTTACTGACTGGCCAAAAATGTATGTTAGAGAGAAAATCTCCAACCAAACAAGATTTCATCTTTGTTTATTGATACCTGTAAATTCCTGCTGCTGTACTGTGTCGAACTGACCAACTTCTGTTAGCAGACGGGCTACTATGCGGAGGCCTCGATATTGCCTAAATGTTAATTAAGCTGCACTTTCAGTCGATGGAAAATCAAAATATTAAAAAACAACAAATGATACCAGTCGTACAAGAGGCGACTCTCATGCCTCAGTAGCCTAGTGGATGAAGCGATGAGAACATCCCTTACAGGAGTGCAGGTAGTTCCAGCCAACGACCCCGAAATAAAATGAAACGCGCGTCGTGGATTCCATTGCTAGCCACCGCAAAGTACACTACAGGGCTTCGTTCTACTTCAAAATTTCTTCGAAATACATATTGCTTGATATTCGTGAATCAAATCAAGGAGCCCAGAAACCTACACTCCCAGTGACGTGAGATCTGATGCCTCCTAAGGCCAACTCACCCTTAGCCGCCCCTTCTGTGGTACTGAGTGATCCACCGCTAGCAAACGTTGTCGGTTCTGTGCAATGAAATAAAATAGATGCATACCATTTTTTTTGTTTTAATTCTACTAACCTATGGCACGGAATTGATTCAATTTATTTCAGTTAAAACTGAAAAATCCTCTGAAAAATTCATTTAAAAAATATTTTCAGCAAACTTTAAGCGCAGACCGAATCCATTATATAATCATTTCAAGCATTAGGCAAACTAACCCTTACTGCGAGTATTGGCCGACAATGGCAGTACCGGAGTGATACGTGGCATTAAACTCAATTCATTGAATGATGGCCTCCAGTGTTGATTTGATAAACCTGAAACGTAAAATAACATATATATATATATATATATATATATATATATATATATATATATATATATATATATATATATATATATTTATAAAAGCTATCACACACATTTCATTCATTCCAATACAACTAAGTTAATCAACTGACAACTGTAATGAAATAACAAAGAAATGAAACAAGCAAAACTGTTGAACAAAAAAATTTGGTAGGTTAAGTAAAGGTATAGTAACGACTGTTTACTAGAACACCTGACAAATGAATTATAGGTTGCTGGATATGAAAAAGTCATTTTCCATTATGTACAGCTTGCCAAAAAGGTAACCCGGTTCTGAATCCTTCAGAGTGAAGAAGCAGTGACAATCAGGACCCAACAACCGACGTTACGTGTTCCAAATAAAGCAAGTGTAGCCTCTGTAATTACTGCGGTTCGATTCGGCACTCACAATTTCCTTCACATGCTACCACAGGTAATCTAATTTTCGAATTCCATATCGTGGATACTCTTTCATCCCTATAATCTGAAGCGATTTTATCACATTCTCTTCGCCTACTTTGTCCCCCAATATAAGTTACGTTCTATCAAGTTATTATCCCTCAAATTATCTTTCACAGTTTATTCCATCTAGCATTCATAAGCACCTTCCTATTGTCGAATTGAACTATCACCTTAAAGCACTACCTACACTGTAAAATCGTTTAGATAACCAACTATCTTGAATTAGATCGTAGTAACACTTGATTCCATCATTACCGTTGTATGAATACAAGTCTTTTGTGAGTTGACTTCTTCAACTGTATAATATTGCTGACAAACTGATCAGCGGAATCTCTATACTCTTGACGGGTAATTCCCCAATATGTACACATAACTAACTGTAAGACCCAAAGAAATTATCAAGAAGCATGTTCTTTGTTCACTCAAACGGCTTTGGAATTTTCACTTGTGCAACAAAATCATCGATAGTTCATATAACATGAAACAGAATTAATTGTAAGTAGGTAGGAAATGTAAGAAGGGAAAAATACAAATAAAAAATAGAGAAAAGAGATGTAGAGTATTTGCTTCGATCCAGTGGTTTAATGGTGACGTACTGGTCACGGAACCTCAAGTCACTGGGTTCGAACCCTGACGGTGTCATGGGTGATGACTACTGAGCAGTCCCATACTAAGGCGAAACAACAATCCAGGGCTCGTATGTTCCTCCAACTGGTGTCAGTTCATTGTGAATCCCAACCTAAAATCAATTTATAAACCTCCACAAACCTCCAGATACAGTTAATAAATGAGGAGTTATGTAATTAAACTGAAAACTTTTATTATTTTAGAAACACTCAAGCCTTCAACCTAATGTCCTGTGTCTACGAGATGACAGACAATCGCACTGGTTACAATTTTACTTCCTTTCAGGCATAGAGTATTGGGCATAGTCTCAACGAACTGAATGGATGCTCTTCTCTCAGTTCTTCAAATTTATTTGCTACCACAAGTGCATGTGAATTCATAAATACAGTTGAAGGTGACTTGATTGGGGTAATTATCCAATTTGATTAGTTTAGCGAGCATTTGCTATTGTGTATTGACGTAAACTTGGCTACAGGAAAACTTTTTCTCAATGCACTTAGATCATTGTATCTATTCTCTTGGATATTGCAGCTCCTTCTGAATTTCCACGATTGGGTGTTTATTTCTCTTAGTCCGTTCGTTTACTTACCTAATAATAAATCTCTTAGGATATCCATTCTATCAGAGATACTTCTGAGTGATTCTTATTTTTTTCTCTAACTTGTCCACAGAACACAATTTCCTACCTGTGTTGTAAAGTGTTTTGACTAATAGACGCTTATAGCTGGCAGGACAGAAACTGACATAGTTAAGATATAGTCCACTTCATGTGTCTTTTCTATGGATAGTCTTTTCAATATTACCATCAGTTGGAGTCGAAACAACTGAACTCCTTTTCATTCTCATACCCCATCATAAATTTAATATTGAGATGAGCCTCGTTCAGATTGTCAAACAACTCAGGCGTCATTAGTGAACGTATGGTAATAGGTTGTTTCTCTTATGACTGAACTCAGATATGTCTGCTCGAGGTGATCCATGAACATATGTGTTACCACAGGTGTTAGAGGTGAAGCCATTGTCATTCCATCGACCTATCTATCAAGCTGGTTATTGAGTTAAAACTGTACATCTTTGTACAAAGGAAAAGTAGCTGTTTCTTTCAGATCTATAGGTCCTTTTCCGGATTATGTTGTGCATGGATGCTCATATACACAAACATTCTGATGACTTTCAATAATTCACCATCAAAAACGGAGACTTATACATCAACTATACGTTATTTCTTTTTCAGCAGTACTAAGCTCACATAGTACATTAATAACAACAGTCAAGCAAACAAAACTACAGCTGTAGAAATTCATCTCATTCCCCAAATTACTGATATTTTCATCACGCAGCAGCATGAGTTATTAGTAAACAAACTTGGCTGAAAAAAATATACGAATATGCATACAACATCGATGTAGAATCTCGCACATACGTGCATTGGATCAATTTGTCACACTCCACAGTAGTACAAATAGAACAGGTGGATAGAAAAAGAGTGATATCAGAGAAGATAAAGTATTATGAGAGAATAAACAATCTGAGGACTACAAACAGTGTGAATATTCAACCTCTAGAAGATACCAAAGAGTGAATACATCTGCGCCATTGTCACCAAAAGTCCTCAACCAACCAGACACTCTACACCTCCCCATACGACTACGACCAACAGTCAGGGACTTCATACACTAGTGCCAGATATTGATTTGGCCACCTTGAACCCTCTTCCAACTTAGTCAAACTTTTAGCATTGCACGTTGATGTAGACGGTGGATCGTCATGCTCATTACATGTCGAAGCCACTTCAGTCGACTAAGGTTCACAATCTCACTGATCGACTTGCTTGTCTTGCCTAATACCATTCGCCTGACCTCAACACTTCCCACACGGTGACTCCACCAAACACTAGCAATCCCTCGAAGATACGTATTAACAAACACCCGTCACCGCTTCATGTCTTCTACTTTCAACGACCGTGTCTGACAGCCATACAACAAGACAGGACGAACTGTAGCGCAGTATACTGGCCTTTTGATAGGTAGATAATCGGATGTCTGGCCAGCGCCACAGGTGATGCAACTTGGCAAGCGCAAAACGGCTCTTCTGTATCCGAAGTCAGATTTCGTCAGCAAAATAATACTGGAACCACTAATAATTTTGATAAATAGTTGTATTTTCGGAAGAACCCCGCCCAAACATTCAATTACAGCTGTGTTCACCAAGTAGAGAATTTATTTTGCAATCTGAAGTTGACTTTAATCAAACAACTAATATGATTAACCGTAAGCAATCAGCATTTCGTATGTATGTATTTTGAAGCATAAAAACCTTGTCAATAATTAAAGGTGTTATATTGAAATATAAAGTGCGGTTATGCAAAGAAAGAATAAAGCACAGCAATTAATACTGTAACATCCATTCAGTGGAATTTGCTTACCGAATTGAGCCATGTATGAACGAAATGCAGGTTGGTGAAAAGCTTCTGCTATTGAATGATAAACAAAGTCTCCACAATTAAGACAAAATAATTCACCACGTTCTGTACACACGGCTAAATCGCAAATAAAAAATTGAAAAGTAATCAGTCATAAAAATTTCCACACTACGCGAAACAATTTTGAATTTCATCCCATTTAAGGCTAAACAGTGTTAATTAGTCCACATGTCATATATAGAATTCGTAGAAATAGTACAGGAATGGGCAGATGTAAAAACCGTTTGCAGTATCAGGCTCTTATCACCAAAGTTATTCTTCGCTTTGTTACACAACCTAAAGACTTTGAAATGGTGGAAAACATTTATATCTCAGGATGAGGATGATGGTGATTTGGTGTTGTATGAGCTTTGGTGTTTCATGGTGGATGTATAATCACCAGGCTTTATGACATTCTCAGCACTAACTTCAAAGTAAAGAGAGAGAACACTAAACCACCATCGTTACACAACCAGTAAACTGAATTACACAAACAAGTAAACTTGATTAATACATCATAGATTTTAAAAGTATTTTAAACATCTTTACACATTTTTCTCACTACAGTAGGGAAATCATTTGATGTCTCATCATAGTCGCTATAAAATCACTCAAAACCAAGTAGGTCAACTACGCTGATGATTACGTAACTTAACTATTTCAGAAATAGGCAGATTAGAGCTCACCCACTTTGACAAGTTATTCAGTGAAGAGAACTCTTTTCAACCAATTTATTCTCAATCCGTACACTCGTATGTATATGATATTTAAAGACTGTAATCCGTGAGGATGATTTAACTTAAACAATAATAATGGTGGTTATAATTATAATGTTGCCAGATGATGACGTTAAGGTCTAGTAATAATCTTGGTAACAAAAAGGGTTACGTAAGATTTTCAAATCGTTTATAAGGTGCATATAGATTAAAAAGGGTGAGAACGTTAATAAACAATCAGAGGATTAGGTGAGACAAGTCAATTGGAGTATGTTGAAAATGTCTTGTTAAAAGTTGTGATGAATAGGAAGATAAAATAAAATAACACCGGAAACAAGTATAAAAATAGTGTTAAAGATGACATAAGAGTATAAAGATCAATCTGACAAAAAAAAGGTGGGGTGGAAAACGAAAAAAGGGAACGAAGCTCACGAAGACTAAAATAAAGGCCAAGACAAAGACTGTACATATTTCTTTTGCATACAAAGGTCAGGTTTCAGTTCATGGATAGCCAAGGTGTCTGCTGTTTTTAGAAACTGAACACGGAGGAAATGTGAGGTGTTTGGGCAAATTCGATAGACAACCTTAAAACCCTTGTTTGGGTGGTTGAATAGTTGGAATCAATTAAATGCTCAAGGATAGAATTTCCGGTGCACTTCCTTCCACCCTATAAAACCAGGCCTGAATATGTTCTCGTATACGTGTTGACAGCAATATCTAACTGCGGTCGATGCATCTTGCTCCACAGGAGCAAAAGCGTTTCGCACTCGTCAAATGAAAGATGATGCTCCAAGACTGGTCTGCTGCAAGTACTACCAGCTTAATGATGGGAAGTGAAGTTATTGAATATGTCGACCAATTCACTTAGTCAACTGGAGTCAGCCCCAACAAACTGGTTGCTGGCGAAATCTGACTTCGGATACAGAAGAGCCGTTTTGCGCTTGCCAAGTTGCATCACCTGTGGCGCTGGCCAGACATCCGATTATCTACCTATCAAAAGGCCAGTATACTGCGCTACAGTTCGTCCTGTCTTGTTGTATGGCTGTCAGACACGGTCGTTGAAAGTAGAAGACATGAAGCGGTGACGGGTGTTTGTTAATACGTATCTTCGAGGGATTGCTAGTGTTTGGTGGAGTCACCGTGTGGGAAGTGTTGAGGTCAGGCGAATGGTATTAGGCAAGACAAGCAAGTCGATCAGTGAGATTGTGAACCTTAGTCGACTGAAGTGGCTTCGACATGTAATGAGCATGACGATCCACCGTCTACATCAACGTGCAATGCTAAAAGTTTGACTAAGTTGGAAGAGGGTTCAAGGTGGCCAAATCAATATCTGGCACTAGTGTATGAAGTCCCTGACTGTTGGTCGTAGTCGTATGGGGAGGTGTAGAGTGTCTGGTTGGTTGAGGACTTTTGGTGACAATGGCGCAGATGTATTCACTCTTTGGTATCTTCTAGAGGTTGAATGGATAGTCTTTTCAATATTACCATCAGTTGGAGTCGAAACAACTGAACTCCTTTTCATTCTCATACCCCATCATAAATTTAATATTGAGATGAGCCTCGTTCAGATTGTCAAACAACTCAGGCGTCATTAGTGAACGTATGGTAATAGGTTGTTTCTCTTATGACTGAACTCAGATATGTCTGCTCGAGGTGATCCATGAACATATGTGTTACCACAGGTGTTAGAGGTGAAGCCATTGTCATTCCATCGACCTATCTATCAAGCTGGTTATTGAGTTAAAACTGTACATCTTTGTACAAAGGAAAAGTAGCTGTTTCTTTCAGATCTATAGGTCCTTTTCCGGATTATGTTGTGCATGGATGCTCATATACACAAACATTCTGATGACTTTCAATAATTCACCATCAAAAACGGAGACTTATACATCAACTATACGTTATTTCTTTTTCAGCAGTACTAAGCTCACATAGTACATTAATAACAACAGTCAAGCAAACAAAACTACAGCTGTAGAAATTCATCTCATTCCCCAAATTACTGATATTTTCATCACGCAGCAGCATGAGTTATTAGTAAACAAACTTGGCTGAAAAAAATATACGAATATGCATACAACATCGATGTAGAATCTCGCACATACGTGCATTGGATCAATTTGTCACACTCCACAGTAGTACAAATAGAACAGGTGGATAGAAAAAGAGTGATATCAGAGAAGATAAAGTATTATGAGAGAATAAACAATCTGAGGACTACAAACAGTGTGAATATTCAACCTCTAGAAGATACCAAAGAGTGAATACATCTGCGCCATTGTCACCAAAAGTCCTCAACCAACCAGACACTCTACACCTCCCCATACGACTACGACCAACAGTCAGGGACTTCATACACTAGTGCCAGATATTGATTTGGCCACCTTGAACCCTCTTCCAACTTAGTCAAACTTTTAGCATTGCACGTTGATGTAGACGGTGGATCGTCATGCTCATTACATGTCGAAGCCACTTCAGTCGACTAAGGTTCACAATCTCACTGATCGACTTGCTTGTCTTGCCTAATACCATTCGCCTGACCTCAACACTTCCCACACGGTGACTCCACCAAACACTAGCAATCCCTCGAAGATACGTATTAACAAACACCCGTCACCGCTTCATGTCTTCTACTTTCAACGACCGTGTCTGACAGCCATACAACAAGACAGGACGAACTGTAGCGCAGTATACTGGCCTTTTGATAGGTAGATAATCGGATGTCTGGCCAGCGCCACAGGTGATGCAACTTGGCAAGCGCAAAACGGCTCTTCTGTATCCGAAGTCAGATTTCGTCAGCAAAATAATACTGGAACCACTAATAATTTTGATAAATAGTTGTATTTTCGGAAGAACCCCGCCCAAACATTCAATTACAGCTGTGTTCACCAAGTAGAGAATTTATTTTGCAATCTGAAGTTGACTTTAATCAAACAACTAATATGATTAACCGTAAGCAATCAGCATTTCGTATGTATGTATTTTGAAGCATAAAAACCTTGTCAATAATTAAAGGTGTTATATTGAAATATAAAGTGCGGTTATGCAAAGAAAGAATAAAGCACAGCAATTAATACTGTAACATCCATTCAGTGGAATTTGCTTACCGAATTGAGCCATGTATGAACGAAATGCAGGTTGGTGAAAAGCTTCTGCTATTGAATGATAAACAAAGTCTCCACAATTAAGACAAAATAATTCACCACGTTCTGTACACACGGCTAAATCGCAAATAAAAAATTGAAAAGTAATCAGTCATAAAAATTTCCACACTACGCGAAACAATTTTGAATTTCATCCCATTTAAGGCTAAACAGTGTTAATTAGTCCACATGTCATATATAGAATTCGTAGAAATAGTACAGGAATGGGCAGATGTAAAAACCGTTTGCAGTATCAGGCTCTTATCACCAAAGTTATTCTTCGCTTTGTTACACAACCTAAAGACTTTGAAATGGTGGAAAACATTTATATCTCAGGATGAGGATGATGGTGATTTGGTGTTGTATGAGCTTTGGTGTTTCATGGTGGATGTATAATCACCAGGCTTTATGACATTCTCAGCACTAACTTCAAAGTAAAGAGAGAGAACACTAAACCACCATCGTTACACAACCAGTAAACTGAATTACACAAACAAGTAAACTTGATTAATACATCATAGATTTTAAAAGTATTTTAAACATCTTTACACATTTTTCTCACTACAGTAGGGAAATCATTTGATGTCTCATCATAGTCGCTATAAAATCACTCAAAACCAAGTAGGTCAACTACGCTGATGATTACGTAACTTAACTATTTCAGAAATAGGCAGATTAGAGCTCACCCACTTTGACAAGTTATTCAGTGAAGAGAACTCTTTTCAACCAATTTATTCTCAATCCGTACACTCGTATGTATATGATATTTAAAGACTGTAATCCGTGAGGATGATTTAACTTAAACAATAATAATGGTGGTTATAATTATAATGTTGCCAGATGATGACGTTAAGGTCTAGTAATAATCTTGGTAACAAAAAGGGTTACGTAAGATTTTCAAATCGTTTATAAGGTGCATATAGATTAAAAAGGGTGAGAACGTTAATAAACAATCAGAGGATTAGGTGAGACAAGTCAATTGGAGTATGTTGAAAATGTCTTGTTAAAAGTTGTGATGAATAGGAAGATAAAATAAAATAACACCGGAAACAAGTATAAAAATAGTGTTAAAGATGACATAAGAGTATAAAGATCAATCTGACAAAAAAAAGGTGGGGTGGAAAACGAAAAAAGGGAACGAAGCTCACGAAGACTAAAATAAAGGCCAAGACAAAGACTGTACATATTTCTTTTGCATACAAAGGTCAGGTTTCAGTTCATGGATAGCCAAGGTGTCTGCTGTTTTTAGAAACTGAACACGGAGGAAATGTGAGGTGTTTGGGCAAATTCGATAGACAACCTTAAAACCCTTGTTTGGGTGGTTGAATAGTTGGAATCAATTAAATGCTCAAGGATAGAATTTCCGGTGCACTTCCTTCCACCCTATAAAACCAGGCCTGAATATGTTCTCGTATACGTGTTGACAGCAATATCTAACTGCGGTCGATGCATCTTGCTCCACAGGAGCAAAAGCGTTTCGCACTCGTCAAATGAAAGATGATGCTCCAAGACTGGTCTGCTGCAAGTACTACCAGCTTAATGATGGGAAGTGAAGTTATTGAATATGTCGACCAATTCACTTAGTCAACTGGAGTCAGCCCCAACAAACTGGTTGCTGGCGAAATCTGACTTCGGATACAGAAGAGCCGTTTTGCGCTTGCCAAGTTGCATCACCTGTGGCGCTGGCCAGACATCCGATTATCTACCTATCAAAAGGCCAGTATACTGCGCTACAGTTCGTCCTGTCTTGTTGTATGGCTGTCAGACACGGTCGTTGAAAGTAGAAGACATGAAGCGGTGACGGGTGTTTGTTAATACGTATCTTCGAGGGATTGCTAGTGTTTGGTGGAGTCACCGTGTGGGAAGTGTTGAGGTCAGGCGAATGGTATTAGGCAAGACAAGCAAGTCGATCAGTGAGATTGTGAACCTTAGTCGACTGAAGTGGCTTCGACATGTAATGAGCATGACGATCCACCGTCTACATCAACGTGCAATGCTAAAAGTTTGACTAAGTTGGAAGAGGGTTCAAGGTGGCCAAATCAATATCTGGCACTAGTGTATGAAGTCCCTGACTGTTGGTCGTAGTCGTATGGGGAGGTGTAGAGTGTCTGGTTGGTTGAGGACTTTTGGTGACAATGGCGCAGATGTATTCACTCTTTGGTATCTTCTAGAGGTTGAATATTCACACTGTTTGTAGTCCTCAGATTGTTTATTCTCTCATAATACTTTATCTTCTCTGATATCACTCTTTTTCTATCCACCTGTTCTATTTGTACTACTGTGGAGTGTGACAAATTGATCCAATGCACGTATGTGCGAGATTCTATATCAATTTTGTCTGTATGTGTAATGACATTTAGTGAGATATTATGGATGGAGTTATGCGTTTACCGAATTCGGCGATTACACTGTGTTAAACACAACGATTCAGTGGAGTGTCACAAAACAGTGGACAATACACAAAATAATTTTTCTACTGATTATGAGTAAACTTTATTAAATACAATACTGCCTATCGGAATGTGTTGAAGATATTGTGAAACAAAGAAAAAAAACAGTTGCAGCGTCTAGACTAGTCAGCACTTACTGTTGATGAGTAAAAATAATGATTATTATCTCTGATGGGCTTCAATAATATCACACAAAACAAAGTGGACTTACATAGAAAGTGATCAGGATGGTCGTTCCTATGTAAGTGTATGTGTCGATAATCCCAACAAGCGAAGTGGATACAATGAGCACAAGCAAGTAAACATCTGGGTCTTATAAAAGCCTTACTGGAACTGTCAAAGTTGTCATTTTCGACTTTGCACGAAAAACAACACAAAGTTGCCTAAGTAAAGAAAAAATAAAGACGATTGTAAATGATAAAAAGACAACAGAATTGAGTGTAGGGGCAATCATCTAAGAAATAGTGTAGAGACTTCTATGTTTAGGTGTAAGGAAGTAGAGAAAATTTAAAAATAAGGTCAATCAAAACATTCAAGCTTTACAAAACATCAAAAAGTGAATACATCTGAGCCACTGTGACCGATTTTCAGCTTTTTCACCAAGTCTTCAACCACTGATTTCTTCCGTCTTGTAGTCCCCACCCAGACAGCCTAAACCTCCCCCACACAACTGGGACCAACAGTCAGAGACTTCATACACTGGTGTCAGGTATTGATTTAGCCACCTTGGAACCTCTTCCAACCTAATCTAACTTTCTTTAGTGTGGCAGGCTCAGGTAGGTGCGCAGCACATTTCAAATAAGCCTTCTGTATCTACGCTGACATTTCATCAGCAACCAGCTTGTTCGGGCTTATGCAACTCGCCATGTGAATAGTGGTCGACGCATTCCACCACCAGACTAGTCCTAGAGTATCGTGTTGCATTTCGCAGGTGCAAAACGCATGCCAGCCAAACGTACGCAGATATCTGCCCACTCCATCCAGAAGGTCCTGCGTTTTGTCAGCATCTTCACCCAGTAGGACAATATCGTTTAAGTACTCCAAATCAACCAGATGAAGACCTCCATGGAGGTCAGTTCTTGTGAAGCCAAACGTACCTAAAATTTTGACCACTAGTACATCCATAACGAAATTAAATACGAAAGGTGACAGCGAGTATCCCTGGCGGACACCACTATATGTGGTTAATTCACACGACAACTCTACCGAAGTCCTTACATGGCTGCGTGAGTTCAAGTAGAAAGCGAATGAAACAAACTCACTGGACAAGCAACATGGATATTAAGAACGCTCAAGCATGGTAATTTAAGAACACAATATATATGTGTGATTTAAGGCGGAACTATGAGGTCAGTGAACATTTCACTTCACCAGTCATCTCCATACAGTAATAAAACCGAAACTAATGACACTCATTACACTCTGAACACAATCGGTTCCCCCGCTTAACGTTACACAAATATGTATGCTATTTTTAGTAACTGCGATCAATAAATATACCCAACGTACTTACATTTTAATTTCATCTGTCACCACGGTGTGAATTGCCACACAAAATTAGTAACCGAATTCGAGGTCTAAAATACAATTTCGAAGTTAATAAATGAACTACTGTATTGCCCCACTATTTATCAGCATTTTTACTAACACTGGAGAATCACTTCATCTAAATATCATAAAAGGGGAATTTCTAAACCAAATTGACAAATATATTATTACTATCGAATAGACAAAACTTCCAAATTTAACTGTATTATATGATGGCTAATTAGCTTCATATTTCTATCGATAACTTATGGGTTAAAAACTCTTAAGGGTATCATCAAGACAGTCATTGTAACTCTCCAAGAATACAAAGTTCTGTTAGTCATTGTACAGTACAGCTTTCATGGAAGTCTCCCCTACCTGGAAGAAGATTGAGTAGGGTCTATACATGTTAGTCACTCTGACTGAGAGAAGTGAAGTACGATTTGAACAGATGCTTTGCTTTTTAAGTTGAGCACCTAAGCCAATGACCCCCTGTGATATCCGGAAGTAACTTCAGACTAAAGTCAGTATACCTAAGCTATAGAGTAGGAAATAAAGGAGAGAACATACTGTCATGGAGTACTTGTAACCAGACTACAGTAACGTAGTGAAAAGCCGACGAAACTTAGTTTATTAGTAACGCTATTATTAATTAATTAATTAACATTCAACATTATGAGCAGTACATTCACGCTGTGCCATTGCATTTCACCTGATCCACGTAACATTTACGTCACCAATCCAGGCCATATTCAAGGGAAATGGGACCATGAGAAGCAACTCATGAAAGGTTTCTGAACGAAGTTAGTGCAAGCAAGTAGTCGAAGAGCAGAGGCGATTTATGGAGTAAAAACGAGTTGACTTTACCTGTACCTCTCGGAGAAGAATTCAGCAACTTAGAAGTGCAGATGGCAAACAATCAATACAAATGTAACTCATTTCTCTGACCGTTTATCCTTACTTCGAAATTGGTTACTGTGGAAATAAAAACCAGCCTGAAACGAATACCTCGATACTCATTCGAAAAATACTTCATGAAAAGCTTATCTGGGAGTTAAACGACAACCAAGATAAGCATACATAACACAAGTTAGACAGAACCTTCAAGGTAATTTTATAAAATCCAACACGACACTGTGGATGAATTTAAGGAGTTTAAGAGGAAAAATATTGGATCTTGCCTTTACAGTCTACGTGAACAATACGGTAGATGAATATAAAGAAGAGTCAAATATGAAAAAGTAAAATCATTCACTTTGTAGCCCATTCCTAAACTCATCAGGAGCCGAAAACAGTACAATCTGGAGAAGCGGAAGACAGCCGGGCTGACTCAAGAAATGCACCTAGTAATGAAATTGTTTGGACAAATTCGTGACCAAATTTTAAGAATAAATGATTATTCATCACCTTTCTACTTCGTCGGAGAAAAAAGGGTAATTTCGAAAAAAAATTAATACGGTATAACAGTAATCACCCATCATATTTCCCTCAAATTACGGAAGATCTGAGTTTCAAGGAGAGGAGTGTATTCACGTTGTGATTTAAATTGGTACTTCCTGAATTCATTTTACGAGTATTACAAAGACGTACGAAAGTAGTTACAGGAATAATACCTATGCAGAAAGCGTTTGGATAAACGTACGGCCGCAATAGATAGGAAAGGTCCAGAATCCGACCTATCATAAAAAGCGTCAGATAACTCACTGCGTCAATTGTGAAAGCTTCAAATCAGACGCAGTGAAAATATTGCAAACCCATATGTGAGGCCCTGCAAATGATCCGACAAAAATGTTTGATGAGGGTAATTACACTTAGGTGGCGAAGTACATAATTCTGAGGGCATACGAGTGGTCATCCCTTCCTGAAAACATGTTGGCTGAGTCAATGAAAACATTAGACTTGACTTGTGGTTGCATATAAAGTGAGGCAGGAACGGAATACGATGGTGCTGTGCAGGACAGATGAACATTAGCTAAATAAACTCCGAAACTGTTTCCCGACATCTGCGCTGTGGAATTTCGACAAACTCAGTACAAACATGTGCAAAATAATGTCAAAACAATTGAGTACAAAATAATGCTCGTACTTTGTGAGTAAACCCTTTCTGAGACTTTGGGAAAATGAGATAGCTTATTATATTCCTGTAAGCCAGCTCATTTGTCCTGTGCATGAAGAATTCGTTTACATGGTCGCAAGACATCCCAAATGTAAGTGATCCTTTAGTTTGAATTTTAGCCTAGTGAAGTGCTACTGCATATTTCCAATTTTTCATATTCGATCCGTTGTTAACAAATGAATAGGTTGTATAATATTACAGAAGTGTGTAGGCACCCATATAACAGGCTAAAATAGCACATGTACATTAACCTCCTATCTGTTATGCAATAGTCAAAGTCAAAACCGCAAGTCTTTGAATATGCGCGTTCAACAACACCCAACTTCAATAGTGCGAGCGTAGAAAACTGGTAGTTTCTGATCTCTCACGTCTAGTTCTTAGGGCTCGGTTCGAGTTGTTCGGTTCACTCCTGCAGTGGATGAGGAAATCCCCTCTACTTTCTTGCTTTTAGCTTCCGTGAGGTGGATGTTTTGTGGGTTAGTAGGTTGTAATTCGTAGAGTGATTAGGGAGCTGCGGGTTGCTGGGATGTTTAGAAAACTGCCGTGACTCCTGTCTGTGTGGGTACCTGAAAGAGAATGGCAAGGTAGTGGTAAAGGAATGAAGAGAGAATAAGAAGAGAGGAAAAAAATAATAATATAGGGAAGAGAAAAGGGAAGGAGAAGAAAAGGAGAGAACGAAAGAAAAGTATCTGGGAATTGCACGAATGGTCTTGTGGGTTTGGTTCCTATAGAAGAATTAGTAGGTAATGTGGGTGTATTAAGGCGGGAGATAAGGAGTGGTGGTTAGGAAGGAGTTGGGGTTACTGAGGATGTTGACTACCTGAGTACGTCCGTGGTAGTCCATGTGAGGTGACATAACTGTCTAATCGTCTCTTGAATGAGTACACTGAGGGAGCTATAACGATGTGTCGCGGTAAGGCATTCCATAAAGCACATACTCTCAGGGAGAAAAGTTTGGGCCTGAGTATGGTGTTGGCTCTCTGGTGTACTATCTTAATGGGGTTTCCTAGTGAAGATCGTTGAGTTGCAGGCAAAATTGATTTGTTTGCATGGTCTGCCTGATGGGCGATCTTGTATGCCATAATGAGGTCACCCCTTTTCCTGCGATAACCCAAGGTAAATAGGTTTAGGTGTTTAAGTCTTTCAGGATACGTCTTTCCCCTTAGCCCCACAACTGATTTTGTCGCAGTTCTTTGTATTCTTTCAAGGAGATTAGAGTCTCTCTTGAGTGTTGAGGAGCCACCGTATTGAAGACCTCTAGATGCGGCCGCACGTAGGATTTGAAAATGGTGAGGAAGAGTTCGGGAGTGAGGGCGCCAAGCTGTCTACGCAGAAAGTGTAGGATGGCGTTCACCCTGGTTGTCATACCTTTGTAGTTGGAGCTGGTGTCCAAGGTGTCGGAGAAGTTGAGCCCCAAATCTTTCTCCATGGACACTCTGGTGATAGCACGGTTGCTCAACATGTACTGGAAGTCGGTCGTACTTGCCTCATTTTTACTGATGTGCATTACTTTGCACTTTTCCAGGTTGAAGCTCAGGCCATTTTCCGACGACCAGAGCTCGAGTTGCTGCAAGTCCTCTTGTAGTGCTGTACAATCAGCTTCTTCGTTTACCACCCTCCAAATTTTTATGTCGTCAGCGAAGAGGAGGATGGGTGAGGATATTTTGTCTGGCAGATCGTTGACAAACGGGAGGAACAGAAGCGGTCCTAGGATTGCTCCTTGGGATACTCCTGACGTCGAGGGTCTCCACTCCGACCTTATTCTGTTCACTTTAGTGCAGAACTGCCTCCCTTCCAGGTACTCCTTGAACCAAGAGAGTAGGGGTCCACTTATACCAGCTGACATGATCTTGTGAAGCAGTACTGTGGGTGGGACACTGTCAAATGCTTTGGCTAGGTCGAGAAATACAACATGTACAGGTTTTCTGTTATCCCAGCTTTGTGTCCAGTCGTCCCAGGCGGTTAGTAAGTTGGTGGCACATGAGCGACCACTCAAAGAGCCATGCTGAGCAGTATGGACAGTGTTTTCCTATTGAGGAATTCCCAGATGGTGTCAGCTACCAGGCTTTCCAACACTTTCGACACAATAGGGAGTAGGGCAATTGGCCTGTAGCTGCCAGGGCTTTTTCTGTCTCCTCCCTTGAAGATGGGTGACAAGATGGCACTCTTCCATTCTTTAGGGAGTTTGCACGAGTCTATTGAGTGCTCAAAGAGGTTGCGAAGTGGTTTAGTAAGCACCTCGGCGCAGTTTTTCAGAACCACTGGTTTTAGGTTATCGCAGCCAGGGGACTTGCCCGGACGTAGCCTAGATAGCTTCTCGAACACCTTTTTCTCTGTAATAGAGACGTGACAGAGGTATTCGTTATTTATGACCTGGTCGGTGTCGTAGCGAGTCGGTGTGGATCTTGTGTCAGTGCTGAGTTGGGCTTGGAAGTGTGAGCTCAAAAGCTCGGCAATCTCTAGACTGCCTAGTACACTCCCGTCATGGCCTGTGACAAGATTCACTCCCTTACTGGTCGACTTTCTTCTTGACATGAAGCGGTACAAGTTTTTGGGATTGCTTTGTAACCTCGCCACCAAGTTTGTTTGATAGGAAAATCTGTCGCTACGCACTCTAATGTTACAGAGGTTGCGAATCCTTTTGTAGTTCAAGAAGTCAGACTCCCTGCGTGATGTACGCCACTTGAACCAAGCCTGCCCTTCCCACGCTTTAGCCATGAGGTTGTTACTCATTGTCATGCGTCACTTCTGGTACACTGTGACTGATGGCCCCGGTGATTATTTTCTTCACCTCCAACCAGTGTTCATCTATTGTGAGATGAGTCCAGTCCACCGGCCATGATGCATTCATGAGGTAGTCCCTCATGATCTCATAGTTGGCCTTGCTGTAGCAAGGGAAGGTGTTGGGCGTCTCCAGTTGCAGAGCCTCCCTAGTTATCATGGAGAAGGTGATTACAGCGTGGTCACTGAGGCCAAGGGGAGGTTGGATGCAAACATCCTCAATGAGAAGTTCATCGTTCGTCAGAACGTGGTCAAGGCGCGATGCTTTTCTGTTAGGTCCCCAGTGTGTGACGTCACCCACTTTCTCTGAGAGACCAGAAGTCTCAGTTGCATTCTCCAGCTTGTGATTGGACAATCTGATGCGTCTCCCTTCCGTCTTGAAGAGGATGGACGGGGTGTTGAAATCGCCGGCAATGACTACGGAATTGTAATTTGCAGAGGAAGTCGTTAAGATCGCCTTGATGACCATTTCCTTATGTGTAGGGGAGCTGATGGGGGACCGATACATGACTCCGAGCAGGTATTTGGTACTGTGGAGAGTGATGTAGCACCATGGAGATTCTGGGAGCTAAGTTAAGGTGGTGTCGGTAACCCCTTGCTTTGAAACGGGAGCTTACGTATAGAGCCACTCACTCTCCTGCTCTGGGCTTTCTGTCCCTGCGGAAGAGTTCCATGCCAGTAACATGCATCTGTTCGTCGGAGATGTCGGGCGAGAGCCAGGATTCGGTGACGAATATGTTGTCGGGGTGCTGATGTTCACGCAGCGTCCTCATTTCTGCTACCCTCCCTTTCAGCCCCCTAACGTTGCTGTACACACATGTAAGAGTGTGCCCAGTGATAGGGGAGGTCTAGTTGTATATTTTCGCGGAATGAGTGCCTACTTGCTTGGGTCTAGCATCTCCAGTCCTCATAGGACTGGCGTCGTTCCGTTTTTTGTGTTTTGTTATCAACTTGGGTGGGGGCTGGGGCAGTTTACCATCCCTGTCTTTGTAAGCACCTTCGAGCAAGCATAAGCGTTACCTAAAACGTGCTGGAAATAGGATGGGTGAGGAATAAGATTAAGAAAAGTGAAAAGTACTTGTGAAAAGACGAGTGTTACCGGTAATAATATAGGGAGAGACGCGCCTTACTGCTGATACTAGGGCTAGAGAACGCAGGGATGGGAGGCAGTGTTATCAGTTTCTACTGACAAATGTCCGTAGTGAGCCATACGTGATCACATAATCACCCAGCAGTCGTTTGAAGGAGTCGATTGATGTACTTGTGGCTACGTCCTTTGGCAGAGCGCTCCATAGAACACGTGGTGCGAGCATGGTGCAGCGTGGGACGCCATCGAAGGCTTTGGTCAAATCCATGAAGGCATGAACTGGTTGTTTGTTGTCCCATCTAGTGGTCCAGTCATCCCAAGCGGTCATCAAGTTTGTGGCACACGACCGCCCGGCTCTGAAGCCATGCTGGGTGGGATGGACGATGTTGTTTCTGTTCAGGTAGTCCCAAACGACATCCGCAACCAGGCTTCCCAGTACCTTGGAACGTGTGGGAAGTAATGCTACTGGTCTGTAGTTACACGGGTTATTTCGGTCTCCTCCCTTTAAGATTGGTAAGAGGATGGTGCGTTTCCATTCTTTAGAGGGTTGACTTACTTCCAGCGAATGCGCGAACGGGTTGCATGTGCGTACCCCTGGCACTCCGGCACAGTTGCGTAGTACCGCCGGTCCTATATCTCCGCAGCCCGGTGATTTCTATATTCTCAGTGTTGAAGGTCAGGCAAACGTTTGGTTTGACGAAATCTTCGCGTTCATCAGTTGTGTATCGCAGCCCTGGGACTTCGTTGCATTACTAGATGTTGATAGTGGATGTATTGCGGGGTTGAGTTGCTCGTCAAATCGGCTGCTCAACAGTTCTACTAGCTCTGCCGTTCAGAGGTTCTCCAGCCGGCCCCTTGATCAGGTTTAAACCCTTATTAGTTGGTTTGCATTGTAACATGAGCCGATATAAACATTTTGATAATAACTTAACTGTTTAGCCAGGTTGTTACGGCATGTGTACCTGTTTTTATGAACCCTTACATTACAGGAGTTGCGTAATGCCATGTGTCCAGGATAGTCCGATTCTTTGCGTGATGTGCGCCACCGATGCTGCGCCTTCCTTTTCATCTGTATTTGCCTTTGGGTCGCTCGAATTACTCAAGACCGTTTGAAAACTGGCCGTCTGGATGATTTCAGAACACTCTTTTCGATAGCGCTCTGCATAATATCTTTAATATGAATCCACTGTTTGCCTGTCGGTAGTGACTGCCATTT